TGTGAGGCTTCCGCCCTGCTTTCTCTCATCTCAGGATCTACGGAGTCGTCGCCAGGATGACTCAGGCTGTCCGACTTGCGTGGTGCGCCCTGGGGGGATCCAGCGGGAAGTCGTCCCTCTTTCAAGCAGATTCCGCATTCTCTCCGGTTTTTCCCATCTAGAGATGGGTCCACTTATCGAGAGATGGGTCCACTTATCGAGAGATGGGTCCACTTTCAGTTGATCCTGGGGCATTCAGTATTCACGATGTGGCCATGGGTCAAAATCCAAATCGTACCCCCAGTGAACATCCCAATCCCCACTAAAATAGGTTCTAAAGCGAGTGGTGAATTCACCTATCCCAACCAAAATGGGATCAACCACAACGGTTTTGACCACCGCCATGTCGCACGTTTTTTCGCCCTCCGAGCCGTTTTGCTCGAGACGGGACTCGCCGGGACCCCGCGCCCCTCGCCCCTCGCCATCCATGGCGGAGCCCTCCAGCGAGCCACCAGCCAAGCGCTCAAGGCGCCGGCGGCGTGCAAACCGCTTGGTTTCTCGAAGCTTTGCTTGGCGAAAACCGCCATCCGGTTCCTTAGCCCTTTTTGGTCTTTTGGTCTTTTGGTCTTTTGAGTGTGTGGTGAAGTAGTTTCCATTTAGCCCGCTAGAAAGAGTTAAACTGTTGGTGGGGGATCCAGTTTTCAGTTGTTTTCTTTTGGGGGGGATTCTCTTGTTCAATCTCGTCTTCTGTTTTTGTTTGGAGGGGGGCTCTTCAACTCTGACGTGTGTCCCTTGGAGAGGTGAACCTTTCGGCCTTTCCGAATGGGTCCCGCTTGAAAGAAGACCCGGGTTTCCCCAAGCAGCCTGGAAGCTCAAACGGTCATGTTGGTCCAAAAAGTTATGTTTCATCTGCCACAAAAGAGAAGCCGGTGTTCGGAGAATCATACAATTTTTGTGGTTCATCCAAAGCGGCTCCAACTTCTAAGCACCTGCAAAAACACGGATGGGCACAGAAACTGCTGTGGGTCAAAACCCCCGTACCCCTGGTGAGCGTCAAAATAGGTGGTAGATGGGTGTTCATCCGCCCCAAAATGGAGGCATAGGTTGTGACCCATGGCCAAATTGGTTGATCTCCTCTTCGGAAGCCAAGCTTCCTTTCTTTCTGGCGCCTGCAAAATACCTTTTGGACGGGCACCGAAGTTGGTTGATCTCCTGGGAAGCTGGGGACCAGCTCCGAACTGCCGAGAGCCGAGAGCTGTGAGCTGTCGGCTTCGCAGGACCGATGGCGTGGTGGTGCCCAATGGAATCGCCGCGCGGGGAGCTCGGGAAGGGCCATGGGGACGGGTTTGACCCAGGGCCTCCTTGAGGATCCCAGTTGCCCAGTGGATTCCGCCCTTTCTTCCTTCTATTTTTTTGGGAAGGGTCCCCCTTAAACTCAACCAAGAACAAAAGGGTGCCCTTCTTTTTCCATGGCCACTGCGCATCTGAGTGATTGTCATGATGATGACTTTGACACTTGTGGGCATCCGCTTATTTCTTAATGTCCCGCAAAGCGGGCTCGTTTCAGGCGTCCTGTGTCTTCGTTTGCTGACCAAACGCTAGCCGAATTCGAGAACACCATGCAGACGGATGAGCTTCATTTGAACTGCCGCAAGAATGCAAGTAGAGATCAGGGAAGAGATCTGGTTTGCTTGCAGCCTCTTTGGAATCTCGGGTATCCAGTTAACAGCTCGGAGAGATGGCGACTCACCAGTGGTGGAGGGGAGGGGCAACAAGGGGTCTGTTCTTCCGATGCTTTGTTTTGCAGTGAGGTTTGCGGTGCGTTGTGCAGTGCGTCTTGCCTTGCGTTTTTCGTGTTTCTTTGTCTGTGCACCAAGGCTCCACCACATCGATGCGTGGAGCTCAGTGATTAACCAGGACCAAGTCCGAGTTTTTAAATGTCTGATTTGTGCAGCTGAACTCGCCCTGAACTTTGGATTAGTTTTGGAGGAACCTACCCCTTGACTGGCTCAACTTAATCAAGATCCTTATGCCAGAGTCTAGCGGTTTTTCTGGGAACCCCCACGGATTCCGGATAAGGAGTATATGGGGGTCCTCGAATCTCAACAACCCAGAAAACTGTTTGTGAGGGTTTCGCGTTTCAGTGGTCATTTTTTTGGCTGCAGGCTTCGAACACACCACGTTGATTTATCCAGGTTTGCCCGGGTTTCAACCTTTTGTTTGCGCACCACAAAGCACATGTCTTCTGCAGTTTCTTGGATGCGCGATGCCACTCTGCCCATCCGCTTGCAGCTCGTGCGCAATCCCTCGCAATCCGAGGACTGGTTCGAGCAGAACAAGGACAGTTGATGGGTAGATGCGCAGTCAATCTCAGGTATAGTGTGGGGGTAGTTTAAGGGGGAACCGGGGAACCACAAAGTAAACCACCATTTTCGGGCCCCCGTATTTTGACGCACACCACACACACACACAGATACACATTTCTCGAATGAGTGCACTTGGAACACTGTGGCCATCCTTTTCTACTACCACTTGACATCCTCTTACATGAAAGGCACCGGGGGTCCAGACTAAGAGCCTATACTCGGCTGCTGCAGGAGCAGTTTGCCCCACCGGTTTGCAATAAGCTGATGTACAGGGGGCAGCTCAGCATTATGCTCCTCGGCTCCTCAAGTCGCCCGGTGCTAGAGCCATGGATTCGCCAGAAGGAATCGACAGCTGATGCCCCTAGTGCACACACCATAGTCCAAACCGCAAAGCTTAGATGCGCTTCAATCATCCACCCAAGTGCACCAATTTTGGCCCTGTTCATTTTTTTTGGAGTCAAGTCGGTACCTTGCAACCAGGTTGGGCCATTCTCGGCTCTGAATTCTTCCGGGAGAGAAGGGCCTTTGTTTCCGAGGTTCGTGGGCGGCCCGAACACCCGAGCCTTGGCAAAAGCGTCGGACAGATCTGAGGGTTGGCAAAAACCCAGGGACGATGGGCAGATGGTCTCGTTTCAGGCGTCCATCAAAAGATCGATGATATTTTCGTTGGAAGACACCTCAACGAAACGCCTCGCTGAATCTCCGGAAGTGGCTTTCGTCAAGATAGTGCAGGCTGCGTCCCTAGGCACCCTGCTCTGGAAGCGGAAGATTCGCTGGCTTTTCCCAGCACCTATTGCTCTTCAACATGCCCTCTATATTCACGTGCGCCCACGTCAGCCCCAGCCAACCAACTCTTCAACTTGAAAGGATAAACATTCCAAAACGTGTTGAGAGGTGTCAGCTCAACGCTTAAGGATTTCAGGGTTCCGGCCTTGCCTCTGGAACAGGAGCCCTCGTTGAACGCTTAAGACCACCGTGTCTTTGCAACCGAGCAGCTTGATGCGATCCGTCCAAGCTGACTCCAACTTGCTGTGTTCCAACTCATGTGCGCGCTTCAAAAACGAAAGCAGCAGAACGATGTGAGAGGCTGAAGCTGGATTGATTCCTGGAGGCTATTTTTCAAATCTTGTGTCATCCCCCCCCCCCTCTGGCTAATCAGGTGGAGGGGCTTTCTTTGGAAAGGAGCCCCCACTCGAAAGGGACCCCCTGACTGGAAATTGCACGGTGGATCCATCAAGGGTCAACATGTGGGTGTCTGGCGTTGCCTCTCGATGCCAAGGCAAGGATTTCCACTTAGAGGAAGGCCCGGGGAGAGCCAAGCTGATACTCGTACTCGACACCCGAGTCCCGATCGGCATTCAACATGATACAGCAGGACACTCTTGCTGGATTGTTTTTGTTCCCCTACAAACCTGGCAAGCAAGCAAGCAAGCAAGCAAGCAAGCAAGCAAGCAAGCAAGCAAGCAAGCAAGCAAGCAAGCAAGCAAGCAAGCAAGCAAGCAAGCAAGCAAGCAAGCAAGCAAGCAAGCAAGCAAGCAAGCAAGCAAGCAAGCAAGCAAGCAAGCAAGCAAGCAAGCAAGCAAGCAAGCAAGCAAGCAAGCAAGCAAGCAAGCAAGCAAGCAAGCAAGCAAGCAAGCAAGCAAGCAAGCAAGCAAGCAAGCAAGCAAGCAAGCAAGCAAGCAAGCAAGCAAGCAAGCAAGCAAGCAAGCAAGCAAGCAAGCAAGCAAGCAAGCAAGCAAGCAAGCAAGCAAGCAAGCAAGCAAGCAAGCAAGCAAGCAAGCAAGCGCACCCCAAATCCCACCCATCCACCACCCCAACCCCCCCGGCCCTAAATCCACCCTACACCCACCCAAACCCCACCGGACGCCCCCGAGCCAAAAGAACGGCCCCCGCATCCCAAGCCCGCACAAAAGTCTGGCAGTACCACATGCACAACGTCACAGGCAAGAAATTGCAAGTTTTTGGAGGGCACAAGAGTTGTGCAACTCATTTTGGTGTGCGAGTCATGGCACAAGCTTTCAATTGGTGCCTTTCCGCTCAATTTATTTGGCTGAGTGTTGCTTTGCTTTAGCTTGCCCAGATTGTTTCGACTGCCAGGCAACGCTGAATGCCTTCGGAAGGAGTGGACAATCGCTCAATTAATCCGAATGTCAGCCTGGATGTAGAACTTGAAACGCACTAAGCTGATCGGGTGGGATGTTGGACACAATGAGGTCGGAAACAAAGGAAAAACAGTTGTCAACATGTTCCCACCAGCGAATGGCCAGTTCAGCTGAAACGAACTTGTTGCTGCGAACCTCAAATAATATCTTAATTCGTGAATGGCTCCGATCATTCAACGATGATCGAGTGGATCCGAAGTCCACTGCGGGTGGGAAGAGAATCATACACAGTGAAAGGAGCATGGCCATTGTGTAAGCCGAATGTACCAGGTGGAATGCCGAGCTTCTGCACTACAACTTTCAATCGGGAGGTACCGGGCGAAAGTGCCAGATGTCAAGTAGTTGCAACAGGATCAGCCAGTGACAAAATGGTGTACCAACAGCCAGGGCACCTTGGAACAGAAGAACTGCGTTCTCCTGGCCATGAGCTTTGCCGTGTGAATGACATCTCATCGCCGCAGGCAGCGAGTTCTTCTTTCAGCTGAAAGGCAACATGGAGCTGCCAACGGTGCAAAAGGGTCAGCGCAAGCTGGCGCCTTCCTCGGAACTGACAGGAGAAGCTGTCAGATCTTAGTAGGGGCATGTGCCATGGTATTGTAGCCAAACGATCGGGAGGTCAAAGATTGCATGTCCCTTGAATGTTGAGGGCTCCAAATTCACAAGGTGTAGTGCAGCGCTTTCCATGTTTCGCGGTCTCGCGACCGGTTGCGCATGTGTTTCGAGGTGAAGATCAAGGAAGGCCAGGTCTTCTGCCTCCCCTCGCGCATTCCACACTCGCCGCAGCGGCCGGAGGCCGATAATGTGGCAGGGAGAGGTTGGATGGCAAAACGATTCACGTCTCCCAGGTTGCAATGACCAGACTTGCAACGGACATCGTGGGTTATGACTCCAGTTAAACCTAGCTGGGGTCGTCAAGCTCACTCCACTTTTTGAGCCAAGGCGCATGTGGCTTTGGGTAAAGCCAGCCCCTTCCCTTGCTACTAAAAGGGCGCATAAGCCTTTGTCAAGAACCTATGTAAATTATATAGGTATGACATTAAATGTCATAGGCATGTACCCCCTCAAGGCATGGTATTCTGTCACATTTGATTTGGGTGTTCAACCCAGAGCAAACCCTCAGGGATACCTGAAGGCAAGCCTTAAATGCTCCAGCGCAGGCATGGTGAATCTCTGAAAACTCCTTTGGGTGACAAGAATTCAACACGACATGTGTCAGTTCAAACTATTGAGGGGTTGCGGCGCCCCCTGTATTTGACGATCAAACCAACATCCAAGCGGCTCCCTCACGGTGATCGGGTGTTTCCTGCTTGCGTTTCAACCCGCGCCAGACGGGATCTTTCGGCTTGGTGATTGAGCGCCGGCGCGAGGACAAGGTGCGAGGCAGCATTGGTGGGTTTTGCTCGAGTGGCTTGAGCGTTTCAAGGCCAGGTGGCCACTTTTCGGCGAATCTTGCTTTAATTCGGAGTGGCGCGCAACGGAGTTGCCCTGGTGTTGGTGACATACCTTCAACCGTTGGACAGACAATACAATCAATGATCTTGAATGGGTTTGTGCAGAGGCCATCCGGGGTGCATACCCCCCCAAAAAAAGGATAGTGTATGTTCATTTGGTATGTTCATTGGGGCTTAGAGAACATCTAGCTAGGGTCCAAACCTCCAGGGTGTGGCGGATCAGCTTAAAACAGAGGAAGACGACTTCAAAGGATCTACTGGCCTAGATCTATTGGTCGGTACCCGCTCGGAAATTCATCTGACTCGCCCTGACTTGACCATCTTGTTGTTAAGGAATCCTCATCGGATGGAGCCAGACTCCAAGCGATCAAAACCCTCGGCGACGTAGCTGCCTCCCAGGAGATGGATGGTCTCATCTTCTACGAGGACTTCAATACCTGCGTCTTGGCGAAAAAGGGATTCTCCGCCCACGGAGAATCGCGGATCTCTCGGGAATCGCGGATGGTCCACAAGTTTAGGCGGTTGGACTTCCAATTCCAAGTTCTGGGAAGAACCGCGCCGAGTCAAACTTTCCTGGAAACCATGGGAGTCAAAAAGCTCTGGAATTCGCAGAGAAGTGTTCTTAAGTCACACATGTTTGAGTGGACTTCCCCCAGCATGGCCCGCAACTGAAGGTCTCATGTTGCAGTCACCCTCAGCATAACACTCCATTGAAGGGGTTGCCCCACTGAAGTCTGATGTTGCAGTCACCAGCATCAGAAGGGACCCTCCACTGGGTTGGGTTGGGACAAGATGGGCCAAGAGTGCGGCAGCCGTCGCTTCGCAGGCAAGAAGGTCCGCTGGGAGAAGTTCTTCAGGTGCAACGACTTGGGGAAGGACCTGCCTCCAGTGATCAAGGCGCATTTCGGGCGCATTGCGGGCGCTTTTGCGCGCATGGCGGGGGGTCGTGTCCGTGAGGCCATCGGGGGTTTGGAATGCGTGGGTGGCAACAGGCTGCATCACTTGAGCCACGTGCTCAAAACCGATTCGGTTGGATGATGGTTAGTAAAGGACAATCCCCTTGCCATAAATAGCTGCGGATATCCGCCTTCTTAAATTTGTGCATGGTTCTGGGTCGACCATTTTAATACCGGGTTTGGATCATGACTCACTTGTGCTGAAAAGAAAAAGCGCAGCGATTTGTGAAGTGGTGCGGAACATAGGAAGGGCTTTTGCTCCCACACACACACACACACACACACACACACACACACACACACACACACACACACACACACACACACACACACACACACACACACACACACACACACACACACACACACACACACACACACACACACACACACACACACACACACACACACACACACACACACACACACACACACACACACACACACACACACACACACACACACACACACACACACACACACACACACACACACACACACACACACACACACACACACACACACACACACACACACACACACACACACACACACACACACACACACACACACACACACACACACACACACACACACACACACACACACACACACACACACACACACACACACACACACACACACACACACACACACACACACACACACACACACACACACACACACACACACACACACACACACACACACACACACACACACACGCACACACCGCACACACACACACACACACACACGCACACACGCACACACGCACACACGCACACACGCACACACGCACACGCACACGCACACACGCGCGCACACGCGCACACGCACACACGCACCACACGCACACACACGCACACACACACACACACACACACACACACACACACACACACACACACACACACACACACACACACACACACACACACACACACACACACACACACACACACACACACACACACACACACACACACACACACACACACACACACACACACACACACACACACACACACACACACACACACACACACACACACACACACACACACACACACACACACACACACACACACACACACACACACACACACACACACACACACACACACACACACCACACACACACACACACACACACACACACACACACACACACACACACACACACACACACACACACACACACACACACACACACACACACACACACACACACACACACACACACACACACACACACACACACACACACACACACACACACACACACACACACACACACACACACACACACACACACACACACACACACACACACACACACACACACACACACACACACACACACACACACACACACACACACACACACACACACACACACACACACACACACACACACACACACACACACACACACACACACACACACACACACACACACACACACACACACACACACAACACACATGAACTCTGGAATGAAGCCGCGAGAACCTGAGCAAAGACAGATCAAGCTGTGTTTTGTTCAACAGGCGGGCTTGAAGCTGAAAATTGTCAGCCGGCTCTAAACTAGACCCTGAGCAAGCAATGTTTGCTGTGAGCTGACTCTACTTGCCAGTGAGACGGGCTCCTCCCAAAATACAGGACCTGACAGTTCAATTGAATCAACAGCTCCCTAGTGCGGGGCGACTGACACATCTGACACAGCGCTACTTAGGAAGTGGCAGCAAGCTACTTAGGAAGTGGCAGCAAGCCCAAACTAGGGCTTTCTGTATTCTTCAATTCCCTTTACGCCCGTGTCCCTGCCTGGTTTTGACGCACCTCCTCCAGCATGCTTCGTCCATTTCCAGTTGCCTTGCAACCGCCAGAATCGCGATACGCAGCTTTGCCCTGGGAAGAAGGAGTCGCACACACAAATGCAATACTGTGACAACTCGGGTAATTATGAGCCACTTGACTTTGATGGGTATAAGCACGCACCTTGTTTGCCAAAGCAGTTGATTTTACTTGTACTCTTGTACTTTGTGTAAGAATCAACACATGCAAGCTAATATATTGTTCTTGTTGCTTTGCATCAGGAATTGAACATTCCGCAAAATGCGAGCATACAATAACTGCAGCACCTTTATATCTTCCACAAGATGCCTGGATGGCATGCTTTTGAGGTTCAAGAGGGCCGTGACCATTTCGGTACCCTTGGATCACCAGGCGACGACCAATCGCAGAAGTGTCAGCCAACCTCGCCACAACATGGGCGGTGCTCGAACATGTGGGCCCTTTGGGGGCTCTAGTCTCATGTTGTTTTGCCTTTCTGCGTGGTTGCCATTTTGCCCACCACTGAGGAGGCCGTGAGGCTCAAGGGATGTGAGACCGAGGCATGGACCGGCGCAGCCGGGCGTCCATCAAGAGCGTCCGCACCAGCGTGCGCTCGAGCACTGCCAGCCATGTTCACGAGATGCTGGACATGGACGCGTTCAAACATGAGAGCCGGCGCCGGGTCACGTCGCTGTACTCGGAGGAGGCTGGCCGGCGGAACTCCGTGGGTGGCACGTCACTGCTGGCCATTGAGGCGGAGCTGTCCAAGCTGCAGATGTTCAGCGGCTGCAGCCAACAGCTACTGGAGGAGCTGAGTGCGGTGTCCAGCAGCCGCATGTGCCCCGAGGGCTCCGTGGTTCTGGCGAAGGGAGACCAAAGCGATTCCATGCTCATCGTGCTGCGGGGCACGGTGGATGTTTGCGTGGGAGACGAGCGTGTGGCGCAGCTTCGGATGGGCGACCGCCTGGGGGAGACGCTGTTCCTGGCCGTGGAGGACTACTGGCCCGTGCAGCTTGTGGCGATGGACCTGTGTATGGTGTGCGAGGTAAGTCGCGAGGAGTTGCTGATTTTGCTGCGGAATCACGCGGCGGACAAGGATTTGCTAGCTCCATACTTGTCCCAGCCTCCACATGTACACCTCCTGACCGCCGAGCGCATGCTCCAGAGCCCGCTCTTCGCCAAGCTCTCGGAGCCTGTGTGGGAGTACTTCCGGGACAGCATGTTCCGGCGCATCTTCTTCCCAGGGGAGACTTCACTTTAACTTTGTTTGGCACGTGTTTTAGTCTTCTCTTAGTTTTTTTGGTTCTGTTCATTTTTTACTGGGGGAGCTGCAAAAGAACACAACTTCCCTAAGAGTCATGACCCCTCCAATGCACACTGGGCCCTCCAATGCAGAACCCCGACCATTCAAGGACCCTCAAAAACAACCCATTTTTAAATTTGGGCCCAAAATCCATCCTTTGGACCCAAGGGTTGTTTTTTTTTGGCTGGCCCAAAGAGTTGAGGAGATCATCCTGCAGGAGGGGTCTCCCTGTGACTTGGTGCTGCTGGCGCGGGGGGCGGTGTCCGTGGACATCGCGGGGCGGTCCGTGCGCCTGGAGCGGCGCGGAGAGCGCCTGGGCGCTTTAGCGGGCGCCAGGGGCGGTCGCCCGGCAAGGGCTCCACTTTTTGGAGCACCCCAAGATAGACTTACACCCAGGGGTTTCTTTTAGGGGGACATCAACCACCCCGGGGTTGAAGTCTTTTTTGGGGTGCGCAAAAAGTGGAACCTTGCCTGCAACCGGCGTTTTTGCGTCTTGCACGGCAGGACGGCAAAAAGCCGTTGAACCAGAAAGCCGTGTTTCCATGTTTGCCCGCAGGAACAAACTGGAATGCAATTGGGGAAATTGAGAGGGGAAGAACAACTGGTTTGCCGTTGACCGTTTTACCGTTTGAATCTGCAAGGTGGAAGCCCTATAACAGCCCAGTCGCTCAGGTCCCTGCAGGGCCTTGCCCACCGCGACGCGGAGGTGGAGGTGAGCCAAGAGGACGCGCTGCACCCGGCGGTGTTGGGGGAGATGGAGTTCCTGGGCCTCAGCGAACGTGTGAGCTCGGTGAAGGCGGACGCCGAGTGCCACTGCTGGTTTCTGCATCACACCTCGCTCTCCCGGGTGGGCGACGACGACGACAGCCTGCTGCGGGAGGCGGCATCGCTCCGCACAGACCCCGGCCGGGTGTCGAGTGCCAGGATGCGGGTCCTGAGCATTTTTGACGAAGCAGGCTGCAGCCCGGAATTCCTGCAGTACTTGGAACGTAAATTTGAGCCGCGGCTTTTCTTGCAAGGCAAGACCATCTGCGATTTCGAGACTCCCACCGGGACGCGAGTGATGCACATAGTGGTCAACGGCCATGCTTCCTCGGTCAATGAGTATGAGCGAATCCGGGTGCTATCTGCGAACACCGTCTTTGGAATGCTGAGTGCGCTGGGTGTGCCCGCTCGGCCTGAGCGAGTCAAGAAGGTCTTTGCAGCCACATGCTGTACCTGCCATTTGCTGCATCAAACCGTGGTGGTCCGTGCGCTGGAACTTTTTCCGGATCACAGGATGAAGGTGTCTGGTCCCAGTTCCGTCTTTGTTTTGTTTCAGGAGACCCCCGTTTTTTAGGAGTGCCAAAGCCGCCAACTCAAAAAGCAGGAGTGAACTATGAAAAGTAGGGCTGTGCATCAAGAAAAACTAGGAGTGGTGTTTTCACACGCGGTCTGAACGACATTGAGAAAGGTCTTATCTGAGAGATCACGGTGTTGCAGCGTACGGATACGTATGGCACCTGAACCATCAATAGCATCCGCAGCGCCCTTTGCGAATGTTCTGAGCCAGAGCCAGAGTAGTCTCAACGACTAAGCCAGTGTACGCACCCTTGAACCTGCAACTGAGGCATGTCTCCCCAAAGTTTGGCACCTTTCTCGACAGCATCACAAGGTTCACCCAACAGCGCAAATTGGATCCCGCCAAGGTAGTTCAACTCATTTGTCCAGAGCATTGGGAGTGCATTTTCTGGTTTGACGTCTGAGTGAGTGTGACTGAGCTCTTATGGGTTTGAAAGGGGCAGTGCGTTTCTGGAATGGGTCAAGCAACGGGCTCTCAGGTTTGTTCTAGGTTTGGGCCGGGTCGTGGGCTGGGACCCGGTCGTCGGTTGGCGGGTGGGGTGCTTTCGCGGCTTCTTGCGTGCTTGTGACTTTCCACACCCTTAGCATCAGCAACCCTTAATAACATTGCTGCCAGGATAGTGTTTGTAACCCACCTGAAACCAGAACTCGACAATCCTAAGCAAACCCTATACCAACCCAATCCACCCCTAAACCCAAATTACACCAGCGCTACAAAGACTAAGCAAATCCTTTCCCGACCCTAGACCCACCCTGAACCCCAACTAAACCAAGCTCAAACCGCAACCCCACCCAAGAAACTCTAAACCAACCCTTTTCCAATCAAAAACCCACCCCAAACCAACCTAAGCCAGAACTATACCAGCCCGAAACCTACCCTCAACCAACCCTCAACCAACCCTCAATCCACCCTAACCAGCCCAAAACCAACCGACCGTTCACCAGCGGTAAACGATCCCTGTAACCCAGCACTAAGCAATCCCTAAACCACCCAAGCACAACCCTCAACAAACCCCAAGCAAGCCCTATACCAACCTTAAACCCGAACACCCACCCTAAACCATCCCTAAAACAAGGTCACGGCGACGGTAGGCCCGCGGGCTGTTTCGCTTTGACAACTCGTTGGCCTTACATGGCTTTGGGAGGCGTGGGGAGCCAAATCTTCATTACACCTTCCAAGAGCAAGGGCTCAGCAAGTGGACCAACGAGCAGGAGTGCTGCTGAGTTCTAGCCATACCGAGCCCCCCCCCCCCCCCCCGAAAATGGAATATTTCAATTAGACCCCCCCTCCCCTTAAAGCACGCCAACGTGGTGTCCTCTTGCGGCGGGGGGTGACTGTACACAAGCGCAGGTGACTTAACACGAGAGCCAAGGAGTGAACATATTTCCAGGAGTGAATTGTCCACAGCCAGGAGTTCAAAACTCCGAACCTTTCACTAATCGGACAATATGCTCTGCTTCACCGGATTTTTCCCCTGAAGATTTGAGGTGCTGATGCTTGCCAACGGTGGCCAAGAGACAGACATGTCGGATCTCATCGGGCGAATCCAGAGTTCTCCCTTCTTCGCAAACACGAATCCGGACTTCGTCGCCGAGCTGGCGAGCTCGGCGGTGGATCGGATATTCATGCCGGGGGACCTGGTGGTGAACGAAGGCGACGTCGGCAACTCCATGTTCATTCTGCTGAATGGCTCGGCGGACGTCTACGTGACTTCCCTAGAATTGGTTCCCCCCTTTTGTTTCTTCTTTGCTTTGTGGGGTTCCCTTTCTTTGCCATTAGCCAGGCAAAAACACCCTAGTTTTTGCAGGGGTCCTAATTCCAGCCAAGGTGAGTGACAAGAGCGACAAGGAGAGAGGCCCCGAAGCCAAGGAGGCGAAGAAGGTGAAGCAGATGATCCGCGTGGGGCACCTGGCGGCCGGCGCCATCGCCGGGGAGCTGGCGATGCTGGGCATCTCCCAGACCAGGTCCGCCAGTATCCAGGCGGCCACGCTCTGCGTCTTCTGGGAGGTGACCCAGGAACGGGCCATGGCGAGCCTTTGCTGCAGTTTGCCAAGGGATGTCAGGGACTTTCACTTTTTGCCAACTCATTAAATCACTAAAAGTTTAGACCACTGAGAGTTGAAGTACCGCTAATAAGCTTTAGACGTTTTTCACTAAACCACTAAAGGTTAAGACTTTTAGCAGGGCAGAAAGCCGCCGAGGATCCTGGATCACTTCCCTGAGGAGCGGCAGCTCTTCAGCGCCGTGATCGTGCAGAACTTGGACCTCACGGTGCCCGGACGGCTGCTGAACCTGCCGCTCTTCAAGTCCTTCGACCGGAAGTTCCGGAATTTGCTCTCCCTCTACTGCGAGCGCCACGCCTTCTTCCCGGAGCACTGCGCCACCCGGGAGAACGAGACCGGGGACAAGCTCTGGATCATGAACAACGGCCCCGTGATGCTGCAAAAGAAGGGCTTCAAGGTGAAGATCTTCTCCCCCGGCATGCACTTTGGCTGCGACAACATGTTGGGCCTTGCGAGGCACTACTGCGGCACGCTTGTGGCCATGACGGTTTGCCACATGCTCTCGCTGTCGCGGGCATCCTATCTGCACAGCCTGGAGCAGTACCCCTCCAAGAGCGCGCACCAGAAGTTGCTGAAGGTCCAGAAGCGCGAGACCACGGAGCTCCGGGAGATGTTGGAGCGGGTGGCGGTGCGCAAGGGCGTGTGGCAGCGCTATCAGAGCGAGCTGGCGGGCGGCGTCTCCAACTTGCCCGACAGCGAGCTGGTCCGGCGCCTGGTGAAGGCGTGGCACGACCGAGTGCGCCTGGCTCGGGACAAGCGCCTGAAGGATGCGAGACAGCATGAAGAGATGCTGAGCAAGCTGGCGGGCTGGAAGCAGAAGACGGAGGAAAGCAGAAAGCGGATCGAGCCGAAGGTGAAGCTGAAGGCGCAATGGGATGAGGGTCCTGGGAACCAAAAGAGGTCCGATGTCCCGGCGGTCTCCCCAACGACCCGAAAACCGGCATCCTCAAAAGGAATTTCAAGGGCTGGTCCATCCGGCCCGAGGAACTGATCAAGCTCAACCTCACCGAGAGGGGTCCACTGAAGTATCTGCAGGCGTCGGCTCACAGATTTGGCATGCCCCTTTTGGGGAGCTGAAGGCTGTTACCTCCGGCAAAAGGCACCAGCTGAAGGGATGCCCCGCACCCGTAAGACTGGCGCAGGAGCCGCCGATCCGGGAAGACCTGCAGATGTTCCAGACGTTGCAGGACTGAAGCCGGTGGGCGTCCAGTCTACCATCCAATGTATATTGTATGTTTGTCAATGCATGTAGGACATATTGTTATATATATATATATAATGTACACATACAGATGAACACTTGCATATATGGTATGTTCATGCGAGATAGCATCTTCATGCGTAGGATGCACACATCATGATGCGCACAAGTTGAACATATTGTCATACATTCTGCGTACGTCTATTAGGTTGATACGTGTATGTATATATATAATATATATATATATACACATAGGAGAATACGTACGACTGCCTGTATGTCTGAGCATTCGTGCCTTCCAGGAGGAAGAGCCGCAAGCTTGGCCTTGCTCAGCCAACCAGCACGAGGGTCTGAAGGAGTGGCTGCAGCCGCGGGCGTCGGCCTACTACCGACTGCATGTTTGGGACGTGTTGCGGCAGGAGCTCCACTTGGATGAGGCCGGGCTGCCCAGCAGCGTGCTACCCATTTTGGACAGCAAGGCCCGCGAGCAAAAAGGAAGATCGCGGACCAGCACTGAGGATGAAGGAACGACATCAGGTCGATCCAGGCCGAATCCTTCCAAGTTCCGGACGGGGGTGAAGGCAGTGATGCTGAGCCGCCTGCTAAGCCAAAGGCCA